TATTGATGAAACAATCATAACTAATTATCAACCATCATTGAAGAATCATTCTAAACCTCTAAAACGTCTTAATCATAAACGACAACGATTGGAAAAAAATTTAACGACTAGTAAGTAATCATTTATTATCATTGATAACAAAATCTTGAGAATAAAATAACCATCTGGATTTATAAGTAAATATTTTTTTCTGTGTCATACATATATACAAGCAAGAATGATGAATATTAATGATCTTTTCGATACTGTCTTCAGTGTCAACGGTAATCGTATGTTTCGTCCATATATTGAACGATGGGAAAATTTTACCAGACGCTATAGAAATATTGATGAATGAAAGAGAAAGAGAAAGAGAATATGAGATTGGTGATATACTCTATTTCATACAAATCGTATTCTTTTTTTTTCACAGAAAATGGTGCAACATCAACTAATGCTTTAACTATGGCAACATCGTCATCATCAGAAAATCCACCAGTACCATCTCCTAATTCATTCAATATAAGTTACAATGATTACGATGAACTTGAACATCGTCCGATAACACGTGAAATTATGTCTAATTATTTATCAACACGTCGTCATCGAACTGTAACAATATTTCATGCGAAAGTTGCACAAAAATCTTATGGAAATGAAAAACGGTTTGTACATAAAATTTCTACAGATGTTGAATAAAAAATAAGTCATTTTAGATTTTTTTGTCCACCACCTTGTGTTTATCTATCTGGTGATGGTTGGACTAATAAATCTTGCTGTTCATCGTCATCAACCAATGAACAAGAAAATTTTTGTGCAACAATTGGTATTGGTGAACCATTATTTTCAAATGAAAATGATAATTGTTTATCGAATGAAATGCAAAATTTAACATTTGAAACTGGAAAAAGAAAATATGGTTCAGCTAAAACATTATTTATATCTGATTCTGATAAACGGAAATATATTAATTTGAATATAAAACTTTTTTCGACAAATAATTATCATCCAAATTCATATATTGGATTATTTGAAAGTCGAAAAATAAAAGTTATATCCAAACCATCCAAGAAAAAACAATCCGTTAAAAATGCTGAATGTAAATAAATAACACACGAAAAAAAAACGTTTTTTTTTAAATTAAAATTTCTTTTCTTTTTTTAAATAGCAGTATGTATTCAATCAGGAACAAAAATTGCTTTATTTAATCGTCTTAGGTATGAAATAAGAATGATTTTAAAAATTAAATAAAAAAATCTTTTTTTGAATTCTAGAAGTCAAAATGTTAGTACAAGATTTTTACATGTTGATGAAACTAATCAATTCCATGCAAGTGCTCATGAATGGGGATCGTTTTATATACATTTAGTTGATAATGATGAATCATCAATTGAATCGAATGAATTTTCTGTAAAAGAAGGTTTTATTCAATATGGTTCAACAGTTAAACTTGTTTGTTCAGTAACAAATCAATCATTACCTTATTTGGTAAAGAAAATTTTGCTTTTTTTCATAAAAAATATTTTATTTATTGTTTTATTATAAGATTATTCGAAAAGTTGATAAAAATTTTGTATTAATCGAATCAGATGAACCAGTTTCTCAATTACATAAATGTGCATTTGAATTTAAGAATAATCCTACAAATTTTATTTATTTATCATTAGTTAATGAACGTATTGTTGGCATTGCGGTACTATTTAATATATAAAAATGATTTTTATTATCATTTCTGTTTAGGGTAAACCATGTGTGAATGAACGTTTTCGTATTAATATTAATGATTCAGCATGTTGGACAATAATATCAACAGATAAAGCAGAATATACATGGTTCGAAGGTAGAGGCCCTGTAACACATCCAATAGCTCCAGTTCCAGTTGCAAAACATATTGTTGTATGTATTAAAAATAAAATTTTTATTTTTCCAATTTTTGCATACAAATATTTCTATATAGGTTGATGGTGGTGGTTCAGCAGCAACAATTGAATTAGCTGGAGAGAATTTTATGCCAGGTTTATCAGTATGGTTTGGTGAAATTGAATCACCTTGTACAGAATATCGGTATATTTTCATTAGATTATTCTTTTTTTTGTCTATTTATTTTTCCATCTGTTTAGATCAACACAAACTATTATTGCTGAAGTTCCACAATTTTCATCCATTATGCCGAATATGCCATGGATTCAACGAGCTATATCAACACCAATATCACTTGTACGTCGTGATGGTATTATTTATTTAACACCATTAGTTTTTACATATACACCTGAACCAGCAGGTATTCAAAAGCCATTGACACCAGATAATATTATTTCAACAACAGCTAAAAACTTTTGTGAATGAATTTTTGTTTTTGTTTTATTTGTTTTTTCTTATCGAAATTGAATAAATTTAATTCTATTCAAGAAATGCATAAATAACTTTGACAGATAGTCTTTTATCAATAGTAATTCAATATTTATCTTCTTGTTTATTCGAGAAAGAAAAAACAAGCAAGCAAATGAGAATACAAATATACATTATGAATACACTCACGATAAATGATGCACTGTAGCGTATTTAAAGAAACAAGTAGAAAAGAAAAATGATTACACAAAAACAACAACAACAACGAATACAAGAAGAAAAATATATATATGTATAGAGAGAGAGAGAGAAGGAAGATGAACATATTTGCTTTATTGTATTGTTCAAATTCGTCATTTTAAATTTATGTACATGCTGATGTTCCTAAAATTTCTGTAGATGTTGTTTGTATAACTAAATAAAGACAAAAATATTGATATATAGTAGATTTTTATTTATTTTCTATGAACATACTGGTTGTTGTTGGTGTATTTATAATTGGTTTTTGTTTCCGAAGAAATCCTTTACGTTGTTTTTCAATTTTAACTAACGCACTTTTGAGATTAAAAAATACTTTTTGACATTCACGCATACGATCTTTAAGATGCGATATACGTTCATCACCAGTTAAATTATTATCTAAATAATCGAAGAAAATAAAGTACTGAATATCTATATGAATTATATATTTAAAACTTACTCAGATCAAGAAAATTATAACGACTTGGTCGATGTTTAAACATATCTTTTAATTGTTGACGCATTGTTATATTCGATGGTGAACTTGAACGATAATCTTCATTTTCATATTCTAAATTCACAAGATTCGATTATTTATATATATATTTTTATTTCATAGATTGAAATTTACCTTGTTGATTAACAAATTTCTTTCCACCTCGTCTTCCTGATGGTCGATAACGTTTTGCTATAGAAAAAACAAATAAAATCTCTGTAAAAAACAATTTTCATGATTTACTCGTAGTATTTTCGGTTAATTGTTGTTCGGTTGAATTCGATCTTGTTGGTGTTTGTTCATTATTTGAAATATTATCTGTTCCAAGATCTGTATTAAGACAAGTACCATTATCTAATTTAGTTCTTTTCTTTGCCGATGTAGATAAATCTTTTGTATTATTTGGTTCACGCAATGAACGTCGTTTTTGTTGTCGTACAGAAGCACGACGATTACCAGTAGCTGTTGCTGGAGGTGAAGTTAATATATTAGCTGAAGGTAGGACTGGTTCGATTAGAAGTAACGGTGATGATGATGGTATTGTTAATGGTAATAATGGTGTTTGAAATGATTGATGAATAACTGAAGTACTATCAATTGTTTCTTCTTTAACATGTAATGGATATTCAAGACTAAAGACAAAACATGATGAAAATTGTATGAAACTAGATAGGAATACTTACATATCGGTTATTAATGGAAGATTTTCTTCGATTTGTTCAGTTTTGATAGTTGATGTCGGATCAATCTAAAATATAAATTAAATTACATGTCAATTAGTTAAGACTATTTCTATATTTTCAAATGTAGTTTACCTTATTATTTGATGATGCTGCTCGTGATTGTCTTCGTTTAGGAATTACCGGTTGAATTGGTTCATCATCTCGTATTGAACCAGTATCATTGTCATCAATCGATTCAAATTCATTATGAATTGAAAGAATATTTTCATTATTAGTTATTGATATAGTTCGTACAATATTTATTGTTTCATCAATTGGTAATCGATTTATATCTGATTGATTTGTACGAATAGTTGATGAATATGATAAGGCATCATCTTCTGTAGAAGATATTGTTTCTACATGATTCCAAACTATTAAAAATCAAAAATATTTAATATTGAAAATATATTAAAACGAAATAATTACTTTCACTATGTCCTTGACTATTATCATCAATATCTGATTCTTCAATTTTATTTCTTTCAACTGAAACTGATTTAACAATTTTATGTTGTTGTTGTTCATCATCATCAATTGATGTTGTTGATGAATTAATATCAACAATTAATGAAATAGGTATCTGTTGAGGATTATTTAGTTCATTCGAATTTGAAGAATTTGTTGAATCAAGATGTTGTTGTCGTAAAGTATTGATTTGACTTGTACGACGTGGACGTTGTTGAAATAATGTAGTTGCATTTGTTGAATCTTTACGTTCTATTACACGATCTAATTTTATCCATTCATCATGACTAAATATATGAAAACAAAACAAAAATAATTTAATTCGATTAAACACTGGATAGATCAATTTCGTTTATACTGAAGAGCGAAGAAGAAACAAATAAATCATTTAATATTTGAATGATATGTCATATATATAATTACACTTTGCAGTATTTTGAATATCTTAACAATATTATAATGAAGTATTCTTACTTAGTATTTTTGATCATTATGCGATGTTATATATATATTGACTATCTTAATAGATATATTAGTTATTAAGTAAGTTTTTTTTATTATTAAGAATCATTTATGTTAAAGAATTCTTTATAGTAGATATATATGTGAAAGAGATTTCAAGATGTTCTTACCGAGAATTCCACCCAGTATAATGAACAAATAATTCTTTTTTTTCATCTTTCTTTTCAATACATCGTGC